GGGGGCTAGGGAGATAGCTCAGTGGAATAAGTGCTTCCCTGGCAAGCACAAGGGTCTGAGTTCAATCCCTGGTTCCGCAAAAAACAAAGCCATGGCTAGGGATATACTCAGTAGTATAGGGCTCTCCTAGCATGTGTGAGGGCTCAAGCCCCTGTACTGAAGAGGAAAAAAAGGGCTCATAAACTCAAAATGAATTTCAAATTAAAGCAACAAACTTTATGACGTTAAAATCTCAACCAACCAGGGCCAGGGAGATGGCTCAGTGGAATATGCACTTCCCTGGCAAGCACAAGGGCCTGAGTTCAAGCCCCAGTTCCGCGCAAAAAAAAAAAAAATCTCAACCAACTCCCCCCACCAAACTAGGGTAGTTATAACTTTACTAAAAAATAATTACTAAAAAAGTTACTAATAAATAAGGTACCATGCTACAAAAAAAGAGTACATAAAATCTTTACAATTCCAGGATAGGCCAGGTGTGGTAGTTCAGGTCTGTAATCCCAGCGCTCAAGCTGCTGCTGCAGCAAGATTGCCAGTTTTAAGTCAGCCTGGGCTACAAAGTGAGTTCAAGGTGAACCTCAGTTGCATTGTGAAACTCTTCCTCAAAAAAAAAACAGAAAAAAAAAATAAATAAAAATAAAATAAAATAAACAGATTTAAGACCACCTGGGGGAAGTGTAGGGTGGTGTAAAAAGAATCAAGATGTGTTACATGCATATAACAACTCTTCGCAAAGAATGTAACCATGTCCATGTATTACAACCATACTAATAATTTTTTTAAAAAAGATACATGGATACTGGGACATTTACACTGAGTGATAATTAGATAATCTCCTAAATCCCTTCTAACTACGAGGATTGTTAAATTTGAACCCAGAAAGGGCATTTTAGTGAAATCCTTCTCAAAAATAAAAATATACACAGGGCTGGGGATGTAGCTGAGTTTGAAGGGCCTGGGCTCAACCTCCAGGACTGGAGATTGAACGGAACTGTGGGCCAGGGAGATGGCTCAGTAGAATAAGCACTTCCCTGGTAAGTGCAAGGGTCTGAGTTCAATCCCTGGCCCGCCAAAAAAAAAAAAAGAACTAGTTAAAAATGAGCCTAAAGTACATATTAAGACACTGTTTAAAAAAAAAAGAAAAGAAAGAAAAAAAGGAAGGTGGAAGGGCAGGAAGGAAGGCGGAAAGGGAGGAGAAAAAACAAGAATGCATCTAAGTTCCACAATGGAATAAAATAAAGCAAAAAAAAATCTTTCCCTAAGGTACAAAACTCTATTTGCTTAAAGGGCAAAGAAGTTGAGATTACCAAGAAATTCTGGCTTGAAAACTCATTATTACCCAAGTGGATTTCCTTAGACCTCTCCTCTATTTAAAAAAAAATGATAATCACACATTGGTAATATCATACAATCTTCACCAACCCTATGAGATATTATAATGATGGTGATGATGATATTTAGAGATGGGATGTTGCTGCATAGTTTAGGCTGGGATTGAGTGCATTATTAGCCCAGGCTGGCCTCAAACTCCTGGCGATTCTCCTGCCTCAGGCTCCTGGCTCCTGAGTGCGCTGGGATAAGAGGCATGCATCATGAACCCAGCCGAGATATTACTTACTAATCCTTTACTTTACAAGGAGAAAAAAAGGTTCACAAAGATTAAATCCGAAATATGGCTTTTAGCATTAAAAAAGCCAGGAGGTTTTTTAATTTCAAAAAGCAAAAACATAAGTTGGTTGTCTAGAACACAATCTAGTAATAACGTAAGTGAAAGTAACAGTACAGCTAAAAAAACTAATGGTAATTTCCTAAAATCACCTTCACTTGCCTCATTCAAGGTCACCTTCAGCACAAATCAAGCAAGGAACTTAATTTTTTCTGTCAATACCTAATACAGAACTAAACTTCCCTGCACCTGCCTAACTTTCAAATAAGACTTTTTTAAATAACCACGATTGCTCGCAGGCCAACTAATTTTGCATTAACAACCCACAAATAACTTCAAAGCTGCAAGGCTACCACTTAGGTTATAGCCATGCAAGGAAACCGAGTAAAAAACTAAATTTACTTTCCTACAATGGCTAGAGGGATTGGAGAGAGACTCTTCTAGGTGGGGTCATGAGTAAATGTACCCCAAACTAAAACTTGTATCTTTTAAAACGTCCCTGAGGTCCATCCCAAAAATCGTTCAGATAACAGGTTACTTAAAAATTAAAATGCAGTGCTAGGCAATGACTGTGATAACAGAAAGAGAGCTGGAAAACAAAACAAAAACACTGAGAGAGAAAGCCACTGCTAAGGAAATTTTCCCAACGAAGAGAACAAGGTAGACCAAGCATTTAGAATGAGGATAGCATTGGGAACTAAAGGGCAAGAGAGACAACAGGGGAAATGAATATAAGGCTGCTGGAAATGACTTGACCATAATTTTTGCTCACCTGGAAAACGACCTAATGCGTTTTTGGCCAAGGGAAACATCGTGGAGTTGAAGTTGAAACCGTAGTTACTGCAGCTGCCGGCTGGGTGCAAATTACTTCCAGATACCCTTGCAAAGAGCCCTGAAAAACAAAATGGCTTCCCATAGAGAACCCAATGAGATTTGATGCAATCTCGCGAGATTTGTTAAACCTATAGAAATCCTAATCCTCTTTACCCGGAGGAAAAACAAAGGCTTTTTGGGAGATGTAGTTTGCACCTGTATAAGTGAGGTAGATGGTGGTTAACAAAGAATGAGCAAAACTGCGTGGTGGCCATGCTTGTAATTCCAGCACTCGGGAATCCGAGGCAGGAGGATCGCTGAGTTCGAAACCAGCCTGGGCTACGAAGTGTGCTCAAGGCCCGCCTGAACTGCATAGCAAGACTCTGTCTCAAAAAGACAAATAAATAAATATAAAAATGCGCAAACTCCTTGAAGCAAAGTTTAGGGCTCTACTGAGAAGTAAGCAGGCATAGATTCCTTCCCCTAGTCACCTAAGACTTCAGTTTCAAAATGGCATTAAAAGTTCAAGATGCAGGTCCGGAGATATAGCTCAGCAGCATAAGCGCCTGCCTGGCAAGCGCAAGGTTCTGAGCTCAAGGTCCTGCGTTTGATCCCAGGTACAGAAAAAAAAAAAAAAAGACATTCATTGGGGGAAAAAAGTTACCGTCTGAGAGGACAGAAGGGAACTCGAATGGGTTGCTTTTTCTAGTGGTTTTATAGCGCAAAGCCACCAGGTGAGGCAGGTCTAAGGTGGGAAACAGTTTCCGGGGTGATAGCTCAGAGGCATAAGCGCCTGCCTGGCAAGCACTCGAACCCCGGTCCAAAAAAATGACTAAGGTGGGAAACATGGGACCTTGCAAGATGGGCATGATGGGCTGGGAGATAGCTCAGTGGAATAAGTGCTTCCCTGGCAAGCGCAAGGGCCTGAGTTCTAATCCCCGGTTCCACCAAAAAAAAAAAAAAACAAGACAGGCATGAGGTGGAGCAAAACTATAGTTAATTAAATCAGGATCAAATAGCAAGTGGACAAAAAAAAAAAAAAACGGGGGCCTTTCCTGTAGGGGTTGGACTAGTGGCTCTTCCTTGCTTTTTAAAAGGTTGATACCTATTTAAATAATCTGTCCCTGCCGTCCATCCCTAGGGAGGTATGTGGCTAATTTGTTTAATCTTTTTGATACAGGGAGAAAAGCTGATCTCGGGTGGGTGACCTCTAAACGATATAGGGAACCTCCAAATGACATAGGGAAAAAATGATCTCCCGACCTGACCTGCACGAGTTCATGTTCTTTAAAACTGAAGAATGAATTTTAGGAACAAACGGAAGTTATGAGCAGAATATATTTATTGAGGGAAAGAAAACTCTCCAAGAGGACAGGAGGGGGTCCCAAGCGGGATGTCCCCCGGAAGCTGTCTCTTCCAGGGACTTTTATAGTGTAAAACCATGTGGGTCAAAGGTGGAGAGAATGGGAACTTGCTTAGGTGGATGTGGGGTGGGACAAAAGTATAGTCAACCAATGGGATTACAAGCACCATTGCTCAGGTAAGATTGATTACGCCCAGGACCAAATGGGGAAGTGAGTCACAGAGTAAGCGGGCATGAATACAGGGTTTTTTCCTGTTGGGGGTTGGAATATGGGACAGGGTCTCTTCCCGTTGGGGGTTGAGCTAGTGACTCACTTGGGTCTTTTCAGGTGACCAATACCTATTTAGAATATCAATCCGGGGCGCTACTCTTTTAGCATTTGTTTGGCCTTTAGGTCTTTCGGTCTGGCTCACAGCAGGAGCATCCGCCCCTCCCACAGTTGTAAGGCATCCCGTTTTCTGTGCTGTCTCCTTCAAGGGCCTGGCCTTGTCTGTCTGCCTATAATATTTCTATCTAACTCAGTTGCCTGCAACATTTTGTCTTGAGGTCTAGCCCACGGCAGAAGGGGCGCGCTTGTCCCTCCCACAGTTGCAAAGTCTTTTGTCTTCTCTACTGGCTCCTTCTGAGGGCCTCGCCCTGGCTGCTATAATATTTGTATCGAACTCTGCTGCCTGCAGGAGAATTGCCTCGAGTTGGAGGTCAACCTGAACTACAATGTGCGAAGTTGTCTCAAAAAAAATCAAACAAATGGGGCGGGGAAGATGGCTCAGTAGGTTAAGCGCTTCCCTGGCAAGCGCAAGGGTCTGAGTTCAAACTCCAGTTCGGAAAAAAAAAAAAAAACATTGGAAGAACAAAGAAAAATGAACTAGAACGCAGGGAGCCACCAAATCCTAGCCTCTTGAACTTTATTTTTTTGTATGTGATACTGGGAGATTGAGCTCAGAACCTTGCGCTTGCCAGGCAGGTGCTCATCCCCCAGTAAATATATTCTGCTCTTAATCTCTGCTGTTCTTAAAATTCATTCTTCGGTTTTAGAGAACACACACTCATCCCAAGTATTTTTCAGAATGGGAATTTCATTCCCCTATGTCACTCCCAAGTGCTGGGAATACAGATGTGAACCACCACACCTAATATAATTTTGAAATAATTCCCAAATTTAGAGAAAAGGTGTAAAAATATTAAAAAACACTGGGTGGGGGAAACATAACAGTGGCACAATCCACACAGCATAATTGAGGCCTTGGGATCAATCCTTAGCACAAATGAAATAAAATAAAAAATTTTAAAATCTTAAAACTACATTAGGGCCAGGCGTGGTGGCACATGCCTGTAATTCCAGCACTTGGGAGACTGAGGCACAAGGATTACTGGGAGTTCAAGACCAGCCTGGGCTACAAAGTGAGCCCAAGTCCAGCCTGAACTGCATAGTAAGACCCCTCAAAAAACCAAACAAATAAAAAAATGCATTAAGATACATATGTGATAAAAAAACTCATTGACCTGCTGACTGTAAAATCTTGGTGGGTACTCACAGTATAATTCTTTCAATTTCTCTGCATTTTGGGATAGTTTCACAATTAAATATTAGGGGTAGGAAGGCAAGAACTTTTGTATGAGCTGAGTGTGATGGTGTGTACCTGTACTCCCACCATTCTCTCAGGAAGCTGAGACAGGAGTATCTGTGAGTTCAAGGCCAGACGGAACTACACAGCAGGAGCCTGTCTCAAAAAACAAACAAAACTCTTGCATGGTCAGTGTTTTAGTATTTTTTGTGATAAAGTCTTGCTATGTAGTCCAGGCTTGGTTTGTACTCCTTATGCAACCTAGGCTGGCCTGAAACGAGCCAATCCTCCTCCCTCACCCTCCCAAGTGCTGCAATTTGAATGCTTCTGGCCCAAGTACAAACTGCTAAATTACCATGGCCCAGATCCAACATGGCTGAATTACCAACACAGCAGCTTATCTTCCCAACGACCACTTCCTCCTTCTTCCCCACTCCAGCCCTGGATACAACTTCCTCTTACCTTTCCCACACACACAAGAGCCTCCAATCAGCTCCTTGTGTGTCACTAGACCTGCCCCTCAAACTCCACCCCTAGCAAGTCTTATCCTCCCCGTTTCAGATCAGAAGGTCTTCCTGTGTCCCTGCCTTCAGTTCTCTCTGGGTTAATAAAGGCTTCCCCTCCCCTTTTATTTCTTCTTCTCTGCTACGCTGCCACTGCCACTGCCACTGCCACTACCACTACAAAACCTAACAGGATTGCAGGGGTGTGCCACCACACCTAGCTTTGTATACCTACACCTGGGCTCACCAATTGGTTATATTTTGCCATTTCTTTTTTTTTTCCTCACAAGGTCTCAGCATGTAACAAAGACTGGCCTCTTTTTTTTGGGGGGGGGTGGAACCGGGGATTGAACTCAGGCCCTTGTGCTTGCCAGGCAAGTGCTTATTCCACT